GTCCGCGCGCTGTCCGTTTCACCCCAAACCGAGCGCAAGTTTGGGCCGGGGATGGGTCGAAAACGGACCGAATCCGGACATTTGTCCGTTTGAGGCCGCGCGCTGGGCCGTCTCTTTTGTTCCTTTTACCCCAAATGGATGGGGGCGGACAGGATAGGGTCGCGCGGTGGAGTTGGCCTAACACATGCATGCAGCACAGAGACATAGACCAGAACCCAACCGGCGAGCTACTCCGGTGTGTCTGTCTGTGCACAGTAACTTGATCGCCACCCTTGGACGCACAACAGCTTTTCCACACAGCAGAAAGCAGCAGCAGCATCGTGAAAGCTAGAGGAGGAGCGAGCAGGTTTAATCTTCGGAGAGGTGGTTGGAGCAGTAGTAAAGTAAACGATATGAGGCAGGGTTGAATGCCGAGTGAATGAATGAGTCGGATAACATGGCATGCAGGGGGCCGGGGCAGGGGCAGGCCATGTGCCGCTCGCTCGGTCGCGCGCGCGCTCTAGAGCCGCAGCAGCAGCTCGTGACCAACACAGGCAGAGGCAGGCAGCAACAGGGGAAAGCAGCAGCGGATGGCAATAATGCCACACTCATCACTCGCCTCTCTCTTTCCTCCAAGCAGCGGTGCACACGCACTGTCGTACGCCCCGGCCTGCACGGACGTACCCCCACGCCCCAGCCCAGCACGGCCGCCCCCTATAACCCTACCTTAGCCGGGGCCCCTCCCCCCACAGCGCCATGTGTAGCCGTCCGCCAGCCTGCACCTCACCTCCCCTAGTCACCTCAGCCAGCCATCCCAGGCCGGCCAGTGAAAAAATCTGGCCGCCTGCGCACCAACGGCAATCATAATTCCTTCCATGAGGAGACTCATTCATGGGGATGGTGACCCGAGCGAGGTCCTGGGCGGGCAAGGCAGCGGTGTCATGGCGCCGCTGGTGGCCATGGCGGGCCCTGCCGGCCGCGGGCGGGGCCACCACCCCTGGCAATGATAAGTTCTTGGGGTGGGCGATGGATGGCCAGGAAGAGAGGCGAGACGAGACCCGACGACGATGTGATCGCTCCTTCCGCTTCCTTCCTGCGGCGGTTGGGCGACAACGACCCTTGTACAAGAGATTTATTCCCGCCATATCTCCCGCCGGATCCCATGTCGGGGTCGTAATTAGGCAAGCAACGAACGGGCGGGTAATATAACAACAAACTCTTTTGTACTGTGCACATCATCTCTGCAGTTTCGTACTATTGTCAAACTCAAAACTGATGGACTCATTTGATTGACGGGTACGCGAAATCACGCGAAATCGCTTCGAATCTGGGGTTTTGATTCGAGTATGTCGTTGTTACACTGGTGAAGGACTGGAGCATCATGCTACTCTACAGCAAGTAATTTCCGAGGGACGGAACAGAACGGAAGGAAAAACGAACTTTGTGGGTGAAGCGAGAGCGGCGCCAAATCACAGGAAAAACCTTCTCCTGCTCGTGTCCAGGTCGGGCTGCAAATGGCAAGGCAAGGTTCCGGGTTATGTCACGGGGACTCGTAATGTAGCGAGTAGAGTGGAATGGTGAGTGGATGATGATGATGATAGTAGTAGTAGTACCTTGTGAACCCACTCGTACTCCCCGCTTTTGGTGTCGAAGGTCCCGTGTTGCAATGTGAGCAGCTTCAGGGTGAACCGAGGGCCGCATTCCTATATCATCAATAAAGCCACAGATAAAACTTCAGGATTACTGATAAAAGGTAGTAAAAGATTGCTATTCTATAATGGGTTCCTTCCATCAGCAGTAGTCAAATAGCATCATCGCTAACATGTAACGGGCAAGATAGTCAAGGTACATGAACTTGTGGGATTTCACTTAGTATAAACTCTTTTTTTGGAAAACAACCATCACTATCTGAACATATGCAACATAGAAGGATTGCGAGGACAGGACTTTGGTCCTTTCAAGGTTGGTTGATTACAGTATTGTGAATGAAAATCCTTGCAATCACACATAAAACTCTGGTATGGAGTAGTAGTAGTGTATCTCAAGTACCTGAAGGCGGCAGTTTATTTGCTTCTCAGTTTTCGTTTCACCCTTCGATTTCTTGTCCTTTGAAACGATCTTCTTTTCTTTCTCCTCAAAGATGTACCTATAGTGAGGAATTGCAGATCATTAATATTCAAATGCTGAAGGTAAATTAGTATGCAGAATTACAAACTTGCGACACCGTTATAACACACTACTGCTTGCATTGCACATTTGCGCCTGTGGTACTACAAGTATATAAACTATTGTATAATCATGAAAACCAAAAATTTCATATCTCTAAAATGGTAACAGCATGCTTTTGACTTAATTGTGTTTTCATATATATTCACCTGTGATGACGGAAAAATATATAGTCTCGCTGATTGTGGAAGGTCACAACTCGGCGGCCACGGAAATTTGGGTCTTGAGGGAAAAGAGATTGTATCATCCTGAATAAACAACAGGGGAAAGTAGACGTGTTAACAACATTTTTTAATATAAGGTTGTCCTTTTGTAAAAGGAGTGCTTATTCTTGAATTACCTCCCAACACGGTGACCAAGGCGCGTAGTAAAATTGTTCAACACCAACTCTGGCTTATGACTTGTAGGGTTCCCATGGTTCTGTCATACAGAGAGATAAACCAAAATGTTAAGTGAAGGTAATCTTGATTGGTCAGTAGTAAAAGTTTCAAGTAAACTAGCTTTATACAGCAATAAACAGCAAAATACACAAACAACACATAATGGCGTATAACAAGAGCACATAAAAATACAAATATTGTGATTACAGAAAATTAGTGTATCAAGATGTCCTATCTGATAATACACTTTTCAGCGTCCCATCAATCTAGAAGATCATCTACATAGCCATGAACTGATGAGCCCAACTCCGTTGCAATAAGTACAAATCAAAAGCTGTAAAGCATGGCAAAATTAAAACAGCAACGTGGATATGTCAGACAGAGACATGGACCAGTCTCCAGCAGACATGCCATATGATACCGAACATTGACATATGCAAATCTGTCTTGCGTAGACAAAAGTAACATGTCTAAGACAAACTAGAGACAGGCTAGAGACAAGAGACAAGCTAGAGACAAGGAGGATGATCAATTGATGGCAACTTGACTTTTTTGTTTATGTTCAATGAACCTTTAGTTCAAAAGGTAAGCAGTGTAATATATGTATTTATGACATAACCGTTCCCAACTGCGGGTGCTATCTGAACCACATGATCAAATTTGTAGACTTATTTTTCGAAGAATCAAACAAAGACTTGTTAACAAAAACATTGCACAGTTGATTCTAACACTCCTGCCTAACACAGCAGGAGTCTCATAGAAAACGGAGAACAATAGGATTGTCGAATAAAGCAATCCTCCTTCCAGCACATAGAATACTATTATAAATGTATAATGCAGTTCCTTCTAATAAATCTAGAAAAACGGAGAACAATAGGACTTTTTCTAAATCTATAAAAACAAAAACAATGTTCTTATATGCAGCTAACAAGGTGATGATCTTATACAACCTAGGACGAGCAGAAAGTAGCATATGTATTGATCTTTAGTCACTATAACAGACAAAACAGTAAGCAAACAACCATCTTGTCGTAAAAAATCAATCTGATGAGATTAGCCACTTCACATTTTCTAAATTGCCGCACAGGTTTGAAAACCAGGAATAGGAAGGAGGCTTTATGTCCTTCTACGCAGTACATAGAAGTTGCTTATGGGGTCACAATTGACAGCTTTAACACATCAAATAGTCATGCCAATTATATATAAATATAAAAGTAATATGGGATTATCAGCACAGAAGATGGGTCCTTTCCAGAATCAACTAACACTAGCTTGCCCTTGTGCGCAATAGTTATTAGAGAGGAGACATTAAAGGTCCCGCTCTTCACACAGCAACTAAATTTTCAAGAGAAGACAGCTTAGCACACAGAGCACAGCATTACTGTACTGTTCCCTTTGGAGAAAGATTATGCTAGGTGACTACAAAAAATGGTTAGTGGTTACTTGGTTATCATGTTTAACAATACTAAGTAGTTTCATAGCAATAAGGTAGAGGGAAGAGAAATGCTCAAGACTAGGTCTCAGTCATTATGACTGCTGAACTACTAGATGTCAGTAAGTGATAACAATACAGCACTTCAACAAATTCTTCACAAATTTATGGGTCCTTATTTCGGTATTTCCAGTAAAAGCTCAAACAGTTTATCTAAGAGACTGAGAGTATGCAGTTATGCTCACTAGTTGACTAGATCTTGTTGAGTGACTAGTAAACCTCTACTCAAGAACTATGGACTGCAAAGAAGACATAGGTGAGGAAATGCACACAAGCAAACAAAAATGGAAATCACACATGTAATAACTTGACATGAAAGAAGATACTAAAAACTACGGTGTTAATGTTAGTATAGAAAGTACAGATATAGTACCTTTATATCCTTCCGCAGAACGAGCTTGGATAGCTTAAAATGTGCAGTAGGGCCCTCAGGTAGGTTGATGATCAGCAGTGCATCTGTTACACAAATGACAACACAAGATGTCAGAAACAAAAAAAAAAGGGCAACCTGGTGCATGTAGCTCCCGCTTGCGCAGGGTCCAGGGAAGGGTCCGACCACTTTGGGTCTATAGTACGCAGCCTTTCCCTACATTTCTGTAAGAGGCTGTTTCCAGGACTTGAACCAGCCTCTTACAGAAATGTAGGGAGAAACAAGAACATTAAAAAAGACACAAAAATGATGAATTCTAACCAGGTTCCCGTCGATTTGTGTGGACGACCATGACTGAAGTGAACTCTCTGTTATTTGCATATTCCACAATCTGACAATAACAGTGTGTTACTATGGATATGAAGACATAACTAACTGGACTAAATGAATGGAACGTAACATGAGAACTCATCATACTTTCTTCAGGTCATAAGTTCCTCTATTAACATATTGAGCATTTGGAATCACTTGCATTAACTCCTTAATAAAAGCAGGTCCCCTCTGTCAACATAAGGAGCAGAAAGTACATTGTTAGATGACAAAATCTTGTTACAAGTTATCAAATTATCACAGATTCAGAATATCGAGCACAGAATCAGTGACGAGGTAAAAAATGCATACCCCTGAATTGAAGCGGCATGTGGTAATCAATACTTTCGGGGTTACTACTTGTTTAAGCACTGCATTGAATTCATCAGCATCATTCCCTGCAAACAGCTGCACACAGGAACTATTATTAGAATATACACAGACCTGGTAGAGCTGAGACACTAGCCTAAATAAGCATTCGTCTAGAGAGAATTACATAATAGATATATCAAGTCAAGACAGTGGTAGTGGTCTAAATATAAAATGTCCTAACAGACCTAACAGAGATGCTTAATGCTTTCATAGCGTATTTCACTGACATTGAGGTAAGAAGTCAGCAAGATAATCAGAAAAATACTGGTTTTGGTTCTAAAGCAATGAAAATGGAGTATTCAGCAACCACAACAGCAGCTATAAATATAACCGTACTGTATTGATAATGACGGAAGAATGTGAATGTGTACATTGCAATATACAAAAAAATTGTCAATTGTAATGACACACACTATAACAGCAACACAAGCATAGCAAATCTAACTTCGGACCTGTTAATTAACAATAACTGCTGTAATCGTTCACCCAATATACGTAATTATAAGTGTGATATTACTGAACATCTGAATACTTTAACATGCTACTACAGACGAGATTCTGGAAATCCATAAGTACTGTATCTATCACAATGCAATGGTACCATATGTGTCGTGTTAATGTTATAAAACTGACAAGTGTACACCAATTGTGCAGGTTAATAACAAGAATTAAGCAGAATACTGCAGCACCGAAACACAAATTCTGACCAAAATCTCCAGCATCCAAATGTTTGCTTTTACTTGAGCTTGAAAACAATCTACTAAGCATGCAGCCCAGTCAACGAATGGTAACCACCACCCAAATGCACACCTAACTCCACCCAATACTTATGAACATGCTACTGCAGAAGAGATTCTGTATTATTAACATGCTACTACAGAAGAGATTCTGGAAAGCCATAAGTACTATCTATCTTAATGCAATGGTACCATATGTGTCATGTTAATGTTATAAAAGTGACATGTGTACAAGCAATTGTGCAGGTTAATAACAAGAATTAAGCACAATACTGCAGCACCAAAACACAAATTCTGACCAAAATGTCCAGCACCCAAATGTTTGCTTTTAGTCTTTTACTTGAGTTTGAAAACAATCTACTAAGCATGCAGCCCAGTCAACGAACGGTAACCACCCAAATGCACACCTAACTTCACCCAACCATATCAATGAAAGAAATCTCTCTCCAAAATCATGTCCATACCTACTCTCTCGTATTTAGTCATGCTATCAGAAATAAGAAGCTACTAGTTCTGTTGTTAGCTTAAACCAAACATAGCATAGAAGATATGATGTTCCAATCATTTCAACAGTTCCGACAGTCGCACTGATTATACTGATCAATTCAGCAGCAGAGAAGGCATTGTACGAACCTCCTGGTCGTCAGGACGGCAGACGGTCTCGTCAGGCTCCCTGGTGTTCTCGATCGTCCGGGGGACCTGCTTCTCCGGCACCTGCAAACACCCAATCGCGCCAAAAGACTGTCAGAATCCATCCAGAGCCTCGCGTCCCACTGGAAAAAAAACGTTTCTGGGGTGGGGGAGGAGAAGACGCTTGCCTCCTCGCCAAGCTCGGCGGCACGCTGGGCGGCCTGGCCGCGCTCGCGGCCGAGCCTGCGCTTCTGGGCCTTCTTCTCGCGCTTGAGCTTGGCGTACACCTCGCTGCGCTTCTCCTTGTTCCTGATCTCCGAGGGCAGCGGCGGCGCCGGCTTCTCCTCCTTGGGCCTCTTGTCCCTCCGCCCCCGCCTCTCGCCCTCGTCCGCCGCCTCATCGCCGTCAGGCTGCCTCCGCTTCCTGTCCTCCCTCGCCATCGCCTTCGCTGCTGCCGTTCTAGGTTGTTCTGCGCGGGGATGACATAGCAATAGATCAATATATATGGCGCAGCAAGCAATTGCATAGCAATCTGCAGCAAGCAATCATGCAATATAGAGCAAAAAATGCAGCAAGTATTCATCAATAAATAGCCACCGTACAGGAACACACGACAATGTGCGGCAATGCTATCAAAATTTCGTCCGCTTCACATCAATATACAACGATATCTCAAGCAATATGCATCAACCCATCAAAAAATTCATCCGCCTTACATCATCAATATTAGACAACAATACGACAGAGCAAAACAAGACCGAAAAATCCCATCCTCTTTCTATCTGTACAGGAGGTGGGAGGGGAATGGGGAGCGGGAGGAAAGGGGAGCGGCTACCTTGGAGAGCGGAGGGAGGAGGTCGCGGCGGGGCGGCGGGGCAGCGGGAGGCGTCGCCGGCGGCTGCCCTTGCTGGTTCAGTGGTCCACGCGAGTTGTTGAGGCGGGGAGGCGGAGGGAGGAGGTCCGGCGAGCGGTGGCGGAGGAGGAGGTCGCGGGGGGGAGGCGGCTTGGCGCGCGGCGGTGGAGGGGCGGCGGCTAGGAACCCTAGCTGCCGCTGGGGTGTATGGGGATCGAGCAGGGGGGTTCTGGACGAAACACAGCCTAGGGCACCGCGGCGGCGGGTTTGGGATTAGGAAGACCCGTGTGAGACTACTGGGCCGTGCATCGATGCCGTGGGCTGATATCGTCTTTGTGTTTTTTTTCTTGTTTTTTATGGTTACTAAAATTTGTGAACTGTGAAGCAATAAAAAGAATCTTCTCTACCCCTAAAATTTGTAAACCAGAAGTACTTTTATTCCTGCTATATTTTTTTTTGCATCCCTTATATCAGCTTTTATTATCACATAGGAAACTTATATTCATCATGGTTAGATATCTCTTGCATCAACCTTTGTTAGAATCTTGGCTCGGAGATTTAAATATAATAATTTTAAACTAAATTATTTTACTTTCATTAAGTAAAAACACTGGTTATCTCTCTTATGAGCTATGCCATACAGGAAACTATGTTATTAATGATGCACACAATTTTTTTATTGATGTTCATTGATTGCAGGAAATTTCCAAAATGGTGTGCATTACTTATGTGTCCCCAGTACTTTCCAAAACAGAAACTTCAAGCACACCTTTGTCATCGTTCATGGCTATTTTTCATTTCTTTCTATCAAATGCCATCTTCATCATGTTGTATAATGCTCATTTATCCTTAGCCCGTTTCAAATTTCTGATTCACCTATATATATAAGCCGCTATATTTATATATTTAGTGGTTGCTTAGTGCGGCTAAGTAATTTGGAAGCATATTCACGCATTTATATGCATCAAGGGAGGCACTTCATAGGTAAAACAATTGATTGCAATTAAAGATGACATTGCCTGCGCACCTGCGAGGGCCACTTTGTTAGTTACTACATAATTGTAAAAATGTTTGTTTTAATATGAATATCATGTTGTGATGGTCCTCTTACCATGCATGGTTGCATATTGAAATAGGCCATTTTCATTCATGGTTGTATGTTGAGATAGTATGCTTACACGTTAAGAGATAGTAATTAGTCAAAAATACCTATTTAATTATATAAGATTTATAGCGGTAATAGCGGATTAAATGACTTATATAATTACCCACACACCAACATAATTTATACGAATGCAAGCGCACTCTATTTTGAAAGCACCATGTTCCGACTCTGACACAAAACCTGAAGTCATGGCTTAGTTGCAACAATCGACTACTCCACGACAAGTCTACTTATTTGGGATTCACACAACAACCTTGCCAGGTTTATAAGTACACTTTAGTTACTGACTGGTAGGGCCTTGAACGAGAAACAATATCAAAATGGTAGACAAAATGACCTTGCTTCAAGCCCTCACCCAAGGTCTATGCTTCGTCATTGATGTTTCTAGCTTCGGCTTCTTCTGCTTCATCATCGGTGCTTCAAGCATCAGCTTTCTCATTTCCTCGTCGCTGCTTCCAGCATCACTTTCTCATGGTTCCTTGTCACTGCTTCGAAATTCACTCTCTCCTGATTCCTCATCAATGCTTCCCATTTCACTTTCTCCTAAATCGACCGCGTTCTCAACTTGTCCCGCTGATAAAAAATACATAAGTTACTAACTATTAACACCTTCTTGCAAATAATAAATAGTAGTAGTACAATAGACAACATAGAGGTAAACAAATTACATACCTGGGGATTGTAGAAGCTAAAATAGGGGAACAGAGCCCATGGATGGTTGAAAAGACGAAGCTCGCTCGTGAGCTTCTTCGACCTTAGTGACTTGAGATCAATCATGTAGGTGCCAATATTTGTGGTTGCAAAGATGATAGTCGTTCTTTCAACAGAGCCAACCAACTCGGTATGTGAGATCATGGGATTGCTTGCAAGGAGATGCTTCTTTAGGTCAATGACTTCAGATTTTGTCCACGTTGCAACCTGGTCGTGACAAACCTCCCTCCAGTACACGGAGAGATTGAAACCACTGAGCCTCGCAATCCCCAGTTGGCCGTCCTCCGGTGCAATCAGGGCATGAGAGTCAAAGCGGGCACTCTGAATCTCAAACGCCGGCTCAATCTCTGATAGGCAAGACGTCCCCAAGTCATACTTAAGTACACCAAGACGAGCATCGTCGTGCATCAAGATAAAATGTAGCGCGCCTCCGGAGAGCACACCGTGCATCCAAGAGATACTGATATCACTCTCAATAAAACCTAGATCAAGGGAGGCCGGGGTGCTCCAAGTACCCGTGTCCGACGAATACATGATTGTCGTGGCCACCTTATCCTCGTCAAGGCTGATGGAGACCACAAAAAATGGGCCCGATTGGCAAGCCCCATGGTCGCAACCGTCAACGGCACAAAGCACAGTTGCACATTCATAAGTATTCCAACTGTCGCCTCTCTGTGGTGCCGGCAGCTCCCTGGTGTTGCCCATCATGGGGAACCAGATGACCCAATCTGAAAATAGGACACGACCGTGGCGACAGTCGGCCACATTATTGTGTTTAGGGTGACCATGGGGGATAAATTTGGTGATGGGGATGAAGGGTTAATTGCAGAACCAACTGTGGAGAAGTCCGAGCATAGGTGGTGTATTATGGAGATCTCGATAACGGTTGAGGAAGCCATTGTCGGAGAGGAGGCGGCGCCACAGTTGGCAGACGAGGGATGCACACACGAAATTCTCAGGCTCACCAGGCGGGAGGCGGATGAGGATTGCCTCTACGATTTTTTCCACGTCCTTGATCTCCAGTGCATCTTCCATATGGCTGGACCGGCAGCCTACGGGTGTTGGCACTAAAACACGTAAATTGTTAGCGGGTATTCTCATATGCCTCCAAATGCCAATAAAATGCTAGCCTATACAACTAAAGGTGTTTTAAATAATGGTGGAGGTACTCGTGAAGGCAAAGACCTTTCGAGCCATTTTTCTAAAATGCCTCAGAAACACACAATGGAGGCATCTTCAGAACGCCTACAAGCATAATTTGTGGCATTATAAAGAATGTCTCCAAAGTTCAAATGTGGCCTTTCTCAGTCTGCCTCCAAAAAAAAATTGTGGCGCTTTTCAAATTGCCTTAAAAAGAGTTTATGGGATGTTTGAAGAATCTGTATAATAATAGACAAGGAGAAATGCCAAAAGTTGTCAATTAGTTTATTGATTTAAGATAAGATCAAGTACACTAGATAACATGTAGGGATGTTCTATATATAAATGCCAAATGCCCCCGCGAATTGATTACCAATGTATATATATAGCTTACTCCTTGTGTGCATTTTTCTAACATGAATAGAAGGCTCACCATACATAGAAGGACACAGCCAACAAGCTCAAATTTCAACAGGACAAGTAGTCACACTCCATGATGTCATAGCAAAATGATTCTTCCCATAGACTATCTAGCACAAAGAAAAGGCAGAAGTAGAATGAACTACAACAATTAAGGGACATTACCTCAAACACCTTGTGTGCATTATGGCATCAGATCAACATCAACCAGGCATGGGTATGCCTGGCACGGGTAGGATGACCCTTGATTTGTGCGTGGCCTGGTCCACCTTGCTCCTCCTCCGCTCCGGTGCCCAGATCTCCCCTCTACTTCACTACACCCACTGCAATCCCACCTCCGAGATCGGGGACGAGAGAGGAAGAGGTGCAGCGTGGGATGGCAGTGGAGGTCGCAGCGGTCACGACTGCTGCGGCGGTTCCAGCGTAGTACTCCCGTGGCACAGGCGGCCCCGTTGGCGACGAGTCGCCCGACAATGGATAGGATGGGGATTTTTTGTTGTGTTCCTATTTTGAGGTGGGGAGGGGGAGGGAGGAGGTCCGACGAGCAGTGTAGGAAGAGGAGGTTGTGGAGGGGAAGCGGCGCCGGTGGCTTGGCACGCGATAGTGGAGGGGAAGCGGTGCCGGTGGCTTGGCACGCGGTGGTGGAGGGGGCGGCTAGGAACCCTAGCAGCTGCTCGGGTGTATGGGGATCGAGCAGGGGGGTTCTGGACGAAACACAACCTAAGTGTCTAAGGCACCGCAACGACGGATTTGGGTTTATGAGGAAGACCCGTGTGAGACTACCGGGCCATGCATCGATGGCGTGGGCTGATATTGTCATTTTATTTTTTCTTGCTTTTTATGGTTACTAGAATTTGTGAGCCGTGAAGCAATAAAAGGAATCTCTGGCCCTAAAATTTGTAAACTAGAAGTACTGTTATTCCTGCTAGTTTTTTTTGTTGTATCCCTTATATCAACCTTTATTAGCATATAGGAAACTTATATTCATCGAGGTTAGATATCTCTTCTATCAACCTTTGTTGGCATCTTGGCTCAGAGATTTAAATATAATAATTTGAACTACATTATTTTACTTCCATCAGGTACAAAACACTGGTTATCTCTGTTATGAGCTATGCCGCATAGGAAACTAGGTTATTAATGAAACACACAATTTTTTCTATTGATGTTCGTTGATTCCTGGAAATTTCCAAAATGGTGCACATTACTTATGTGTCCCTAGTCCTTTCCAACACGCAAACTTCAAACACACCTTCGCCAACGTTCATGGCTATCATTCCTTTCTTTCTATCAGATGTCATCTTCATTTTGTTGCACAATGCTCATTTATCCTTAGCCCATTTCAAATTTTGATTCACCTAATATAATCTACTATATTTATATATTTAATGATTGCTTAGTTGGACTAAGTAATTTGGAAGCATATTGAGGCATTTATATGCATCAAGGGAGGCCCTTCTTAGGAAAAACAATTAATGGCAATTAAAGACGTTGCCTGCGCACTTGCCAGAGCCACTTTGTTAGTTATTACATAATTGTAAACTGTTTGTTGAATATAAATATCATGTTTCGATGGTCCTTTTACCATGCATGGTTGCATATTGAAATAGTTCATTTTCATTCATGGTTGTATGTTGAGATAGTATGCTTACATATTAAGAGATAATAATCATTGCAAAATACTTATTTAATTATATAAGATCTATACAGAATATCGGATTAGATGATTTATATACTTACCCACACACGAACATAGTTTATATGAATGCAAGCCCAATCTATTTTGAAAGCGCCCCGTTTTGATTCTGACACAAAACCGGAAGTCATGGCATAGTTGCAACAATCGACTACTCCACGACAATTCTACTTATTTGGGATTCGGGCAACAACTTTCCATGTTTATATGTACACTTTAGTTACTGACTGGTAGGGCCTTGAATGAGAACCAATATCAAAATGGTAGACAAAATGACCTTACTTCAAGCCCTTCCTAAAGGTCTATGCTTCATCATTGTTGTTTCTAGCTTCGGCTTCTTCTGCTTCATCATCAGTGCTTCCATCATCAGTTTTCTCATTTCCTCGTCGCTGCTTCCAGCATCACGTTCTCCTGATTCATTGTCGCTGCTTCCATCACTCTCTTCCGATTCCTCATCAATGCTTCCCATTTCACTTTCTCCTAAAACAGCCACGTTCTTAACCTGTCCCACTAAGAAAAAGTATACTAGTTACTTACTACTGACACCTTCTTGCAAATAACAACTAGTATTATTACAATAGATGACTTAGAGGTAAATGAATTACATACTGATTGGATTGTAGAAGCTAAAATAGGGGAATAGAGCCCATGGATGGTTGAAAAGACGAAGCTCGCTCATGAGCTTCTTCGACCTTAGTGACTTGAGATCAATCTGTAGGTGCCAAGATTTGTGGTTCCAAAGATGATAGCCATTCTTTCAATAGAGCCAACCAACTCAGTATGTGGGATCATGGGATCGCCTGCAAGGAGATGCTTCTTTATGTCAATGACTTCAGTTTTTGTCCATGTTGCAACCTAGTCGTGGCAAACCTCCCTCCAGTACACAGAGAGATTCAAACCATTGAGCCTCGCAATCCCCAGCTAGCCGTCCTCTGGCGCAATCAGGGCATGAGAGTCAAAATGGGTCATCTGGATCACAAACGGCGACTCAGTCTCTAGTAGGCAAGATGTTCCCAAGTTATACTTAAGTACACCAAGACGAGCATCGTGCACAAATATAAAATGTAGCGCGCCTCCAGAGAGCACACCGGGCACCCAAGAGATACTGATATCACTCTCAATAAAGCCTAGGTCAAGGGAGGCTAGGGCGCTCCAAGAACTCATCTCCGATGAATACACGATCGCCATGGCCACCTTCTCCTTGTCAAGGTTGATGGAGACCACAAAAAATGGGCCCAATTGGCAAGCCCCATGGTCGCAACCGTCAACGGCACAAAACACAACTGCACATTCATAAGTATTCCAGCTATCGCCCCTCTATGGTGCCGACAACTCCCTGGTGTTGCCCGTCATGGGGAACCAAATGACCCAATCTGAAAATAGGACACGATGTGGTGGTGGTCAGCCACATTATTGTGTTTGCAGTGACCACGTGGGATAAATTTTGTGATGGGGACGAAGCGGTCATTACAGAACCAACTTTGGAGAAGTCCAAGCATAGGTGGCGTATTACGGAAGGCTCGATAGCGGCTGAGGAAGCCATTATCGGAGACGAGGCGGCACCACGGTTTGCAAACGAGGGATGCACAGACGATTTCTTCCACGTCCTTGATCTCTAGTGCATCTTCCATATGGCTGGACCAGAAGCCTGCGGTGTTGGCACCAAAACACGTAAACTGTTAGCGGGTATTCTCATATGTCTCCAAAGGCCTATAAAATGCTAGCCTTTACAATTAAAGGCGTTTTAAATAATGGTGGAGATACTCACAAATGCAAAGACCTTTCAAGCCATTTTTCTAAAACACCTCAGAAACACATAATGGAGGCATCTTCAGAACTCCTACAAGCATAATGCCTCCAAAGTTCAAATGTGGCCTTTCTCAGGCTGCCTCCAAAACATTTTTGTGGCGCTTTTGAAATTGCTTTCAAAACATTTTCATGGAATGTTTGAAGAATCTATATTGTTGAGTATATTGTGTACGTGTATATTGTGTATTGGTCCTACCTCCTTGTTTCTCTATATAGTCGAGGTTGTGGCCCCCCTCTGTACTCATATATACGTGCCTGGTGCATCGATCAATGCATTGCGATTGCACAACCCATACTTGTCCTTCTACATGGTATCTATCGCAGCACAGTCCTGAACCCTAGCCGCCCTCGTCGCCGCCGCGCCTCCAAGTGCCGCCGCCGCCGCTTCACCCCGCCGCCGCCACCAGCCGCCGCCGCCACCACCGTTCCCTCGATCGCCGCCGTCGCCGCTCGTCGCTGCCGCCTCCCACCACCTCCGCGTCGTCCGCCGCCGCCGCGGCTTCTTCAGCCGCCGCCGTAGATCGCTCGCTTCCGCCCACTCTTCCACCCCGCGCCGCACCACCCCTCTTCTCCCAACCCCGCGCTGCACCTCCCAACCCGCGCTGCACCCCCCTCCTGCCGCGCCTCCACCTCATGCCATACCCCGCGTCACACCCCAAAACCCTAGCCCCACCTCCACCTCTCCATCGCGCCATGAGTTCCTCCTCCTCCACCGTCTCCAACCCCTTCGCCGGTCCTGATGTCACCCTCATCCGCGACCTCAACATCCACGAGCGTGTCCTGGTGAAGCTTGATCAATCCATCGCCTCCTACTCTGCTTGGAAGCGGTATTTCTCTTTGGTGTTTCGCCAGTACCTCCTTCACGGCCACGTCAACGACACCGTGGACTCGAGCCTCATGATTCATGATGAGGAGTGGATGATCCTGGAGCCACCATCATCCGTTGGTTCACCTCACTATCTCCAGCGAC